CTTCATCAGCAGTTGCTATTGTCAGTTTTAAAAAATTTGAGCTATTCTTGTAAGTGTGTAATGGTAGTGATACACTGCTACACACCTATTAGCAAAGGTGTTAAGCATCTTTTCATATGCTTATTTTCCTTCTGTGTATCTTCTTTGGGGATGTGTTTGTTCAAATCTTTTGCCCATTCTTAAATTAAGCTGTTTCCTTCTTGAGTTTTGACAGTTTTTTATATATTTTTGATCTATTCAAGATAGAAGGCCTTTATCAGATATGTGATTTGCAAATACATTTTCTCCCACTCTATGGCTCTTCTTTTCATTCTTTTTTTAAAAAATTATTTTTAGTAGAGATGGGGTCTCACTATGTTGCCCAGGCTGGTCCTGAACTCCTGGCCTCCAACATTTCCCCCACCTCAGCTTCCCAGAGTGCTGTGATTATAGGTGTGAGCCACTACACCCAGCCTCTTTTCATTCTTTTTAAAATGTCTTTCAAATAGTGAAAGTTCTCAAATTTTTTTTAAAAGTTCAATCATTTCTTCATGGATTGTGCTTTTGGTGTCACATCTAGGTAATCTTGGCCCAACCTAAGGTCACAAATTTTTTGATGCTTCCTTCTAGAAGTTTTATAGTTTTATAAAATATCCATAATTAGTTTTGAGTTAAATTTTGCTAAATGCAATTTGAAGTATGGATGTTCTTTTTGGCTTTTATGGTTTTTAGCATATTAGACACCCAGTTTTTTTAAAAGATCACCCTTTCTTCATTGAATTGTGTTAACACCTTTGTAGAAAATCAATTGACTATATAAGTGTAGTTATATTTGCAGGCAATCAATTGTGTTCCACTGGTCTATATTTATGCCAGACTACACTGTAGTAGTTTGTTTTCCATATAAATTTTAGAATTAGATCATTGATTTCTACAAAAAAAAAATTTCTGCTGGGATTTTGATTGGAATTGCTTTCAGTCTATATATCAGAACTGAAATCTTTTTAATATAGAGTTTTCAACCTATAAACGTGGTGTATCTCCCCATTTTTCAAGGTCTTTTTGATTTCTTTCATCAGTGTTTTACATTTTTCACAATGTAGACCTTTTACATATTTTGTAAACATGAACTTATACATAGTTCATGGATTTTGGTGATATTATATATGGTATGTTAAAAAATTTCAATTGCCAATTTCTTCTAGTATAATGACCGTATATCCCACAAATTTGCTAAATCACTTAGTTCTAGAAGCTATTGTAGATCCTTTGGGATTTTCCACACATACTATCAAGTTGTTTGTGAGCAGAAAGTTTTATTTCTTACTTTCTAGTCTGTATTGTCTTTGGTTTTTATCGTGTTATTGTACTGGCGAGGACCTCAAGTATATTGTTGAATAGGAGTGGAGAAAGTGGACACTATGTATGATTTCAGTTTCTTGAAATTTGCTAGGATTTTCATTATGGTTCAGCATACGGTCAGTTTTGGTAAATATTTCATGTGAACTGCCAAAGAATGTATTCTGGAGTTGTTGGACATATCTATTTATATAACATAAATGCCAATTAAGTCACATTTGTTAATTTTATTATTAAAGTTGTCTATGTTCTATTGCAGTTTTTCTTCTCATCCACTTGTTCTATTGAGAGGTGTGTTAAAATCCCACTATGACCTTGAACTTGTCCTTTTTTTTGGTCCACGTTTGCTTTATGTATTTTGAAGTATATTATCAATTTGGAGTTACCATTCCCTCCTAGTTCACTGAATCTTTTATTAGGAGATACCCTTCCTTATTACAAGTAATACTTTTTGCCTGAAGGCTACTTTTTCTGAAATTAATGTAACTATGCCAACTGTTGGTTTTGGTGTCCTCCTTCCTCACTGGTTTTTGAGCTTTTCCAGTTGTGTCTGGTACATAGTAGGAAATGATCAGTAAACATGCATATGACTGTCACTTAATTTTCTATTATTAAAACATGAGATAACTGCGTATGATTGTTTTTGTATATCCATAAACAATGTCTTGTTTTTGATTTTTACCTAAACAGACTCAAATCATACTTTTTTCCTTCTTTTTGCACTCACTGCTGTTTTTGATTTTGAGATCTATCCATGTTTCATTAGTTACTGACTGACTTCTCACTGCTCTATAGGGTTCCACTATATAAATAAACCCCAGGAGTTCTCATTCAGTACCATACCTTAAAATATTACCTTATAAATTTATATCCACTGGAAGATTTGGAAAGTAGGAAAACCAGTTAGATTACAGTGGTCCCCAAACTTTTTGGCAGCAGGGACTGGTTTCATGGAAGACAATTTTTCCATGGATGGGGGGAGCTTAAGCAGATGTGAGCAACGGGGAGCAGCTGTAAATACAGATGAAGCTTTACTCGCTTACCCACCAGGCTCCTCTCCTGCTGAGTGGCCCAGTTCCTCATAGGCCACTGAGCAGTACCGGTTCACGGCCTGGGGGTTGGGGACCACAGAGTTAGAAGATAGTAGTCTAGGAGAGGTAAGATGGTGGTGGGAACTACAATGGAAGCAGTGGAAATGGAGAAGGGTGAACAGATTTGGAATGTATTTTGTAGCTAGAGATGACAGAACTTGTTGATGGATGCAGAGGTGCACAAAAATAGACCTGACTCAAGGGTGACTCTTGTCTATTTTCCTATGATCTCCCTTTCCTTTTGGACCTCCAGTAAGTTTATATTAGATTCTCTAATTCTATCTTCGACGATTTTCTCTTCTCTTTCTTACTTTCTCGTATCCAAGTACTAACCAGGCCCGACCCTGCTTAGCTTCCAAGATCAGACGAGATCGTGCACGTTCAGGGTGGTATGGCTGTAGACTCTTTCTTACTGTTGATTCATCTCTCTGTATCACATTATAGGTAATTTTATAAGATTAACATTTCAGTTCACATGTTTTCTCTTCAACTGTGTCTAATCTGCATTGATAACTGTTTTATTTATTGGTTCTTTTTCAAATTTGTCTAATCTTTCATATTTCCTTATTTTTATATCTAATTATTTTAATCATATTGTTTTACGGCATTTCAGATTATTTTATTTGCAATTCTTAAAGAACTAATTCTGTTTGTATCTGCTGACTCTTCCTCTTATAGATGACACTAATATATATATATTTTATATATATATATGGTGTGTAAACTTAATCTTTTCCCTTATGGTAATCTTATGGGACCTTACCTGAAACTTTCCTTATAGGGCAGTTTTGTATTTGCTTCTGCTGGGGTGCCAGAATTTATTATATTTTTCTTGACTTGTGGTTCCTATAGTATACAACACTTAGCATAAACCCAGACCTTAAACTTACCTGTGGTGCAGGCCTGGGATTCTGATTTCTCGTAGATGACTTTGCGTTTCTGGGCTCATGGATGGCTGTTCTAGTACTATTTGAATACATGATCTCTTTGTACATTTATGGAAGGGATTGAGTCTCTTGTGTCTACATGGAAATTAGAATCTAGACTATATAATATTCAACAGAACTTCACTGGTTTCAGTACATTTATCAGAGCCTCATAGGAATCCTTTCTTGATGCAGGAAGTAATTTCAATCTCATTAGAGATGGCTGACTGTGCTGTGTCTGAATAGCAAACATTTTCTATTAACTGATATAACTCACGTTTTTGTTTTATTGATTCACATTGAGTTCTCTGGCACAACACATCTTCCCTGCCATCAATTTCCCTTTAGATACCACTGACGTCAGCATGTATTCTGGGAAACTGAGGTCTGCAGTAGATTGTATTGAGATTAAATATTTAGAACAGATGTGTGATGGAATGCTCGCTACTTTTCTATAATTTCTTGTATATCTTCTTGTATTTCCACTTTTGCCTCTAAGTGGTCACATTCTCAAATAGCTTCACTGGGATATTTACTATTGAATAAGTTCATATAAACCACCCAGAAGGAATAAGGATATACCAGTTTGATTGATCAGTCCCAAACATTAAAGACTTTTACCCTTGTTACCATTTTGATAAACTTGTTCAAAGACTAGAATACTTTTTGGAGAAATGTTGTAGAATAAATAAGTGTGTGTGTGTCTGTGTGTGTGTATATAAAACTGTGTATATGTGAGAAAGAAAAATTATACTCACATGCCCAAATTTTAAGATATTCCTACAGGAAACATGAGTGATGAGACCGATAATCTCTGAATCTATAATTATTTTTAACTGTTTGAAATTCCCTATTATAAACACAAAAAAAGCCCTATCTTTAATACAATGGATATTTGTGAACCCATTACCCAGCTTAAAACTGTTACCAATGTTCTGTCATGCTTGTTTTATTTCTCACACCTACACGTTTTAAAAAGCGTAACTACCAAATCATGACATCCATACAGGTGACAACAGTTCTTTAATGGCATTCATTACTCAGTTCAGTTTTCCCCATGTCTCCATTATTCTTAAGATGTACTACTGTGACCAGGTCACTTAACTGAGAAGACTTAGTTCTTGCTTGTTTATATGTTTTCCTTTATATGGAAAGCTGGAATGTACGTCTTAGTATTTCACAACTCATAAAGGTTATTTTTTAAATGTTTAGCCACATTTTTTCCTCTCAGCCTTGACTCCTATCTCTCAGAGACAACTACAATTATCATTCTCCTGTCTATCCTTCTAGAAATATTTTTAACACACATTTTTAGATTAAACTCTTGTAAAATTTAAACGACCTCTATCTGACCTTTCAAACTGGGGGAAAAAAACCCCAATTTTTATGGTGTGAATTCTTTTTTTCTAAGACGATGTAGGTAGCAATATATCAATTACTTTGGGCTATATTAAAGAGCTGGTTTATGGAAACAGTAAATAAATAGTTAATAAAAAATTCAACTCAAGAAAACTGGATATTCTACATAAAGTCACGAGCTTCCATTTGGTCTTCGTCTTTTTAAAAACCTGTATATCCGAACTAATAATTTCAATCTTGTTCTTTCTAGTGATCGTTTCCTACAAATGACACACAGTTGCATATATTTTACAGTTTCAATCTTATATTTATTCTCTTGTGGAATGCTAGGTTTAATGTTACAGTATGGTTGTCAAAACTACTGAAATGTGACAAATGTCCATGTCTAAATGCTGCAGAACAGTATAATTTTAATGATTTTAAACAAAACACATGTTATTGTACAGTTGAGGTCTGATGGTTTTCAAACTGATGCCTATGGGTATGGCCAGCCACAAACCTTGGGGATGTTTATTACCTGTACATATATATACAAATATTTCCATACATATGTATGCACACAGGCAGGTATTAATTTATGTGTGAAATTTATAAAATTATATATACATACACATACATGCATATCTACCTACATATACCCACCCTCACCACTGAGCTCACTTTTCTAACACTAATCAGTTTCATGCCCAATTCTTATTGCTGCCCAGTATAACTACATGATTTTAGTGCCAATACCAGGCGTATTTTTGGGTGCAAGATAGGTACATTTGTGCATAGAGATATGTGTATCTGTGTATGTTTGTGTATAAAAAGGTAATCTTTTTCACTTTTATGTTTCAATCATGCATTACTACAATAAACAGTCTTTTCACATAGGTTTTGGAATTCTAAACAGTGTAAAATCTACTTCTGGAAAACTGTATATGTTCATAGTTACAAAAAATATATTATATATATGATTGAAACCTATTGAGTACATATGTTCTTTGAATCTGGCTATATCCTAGCCATTAGATAAATTAAAAAAAAAACCACCCTCTTAATAGGATGTTATGGTAGCCTTAAATATACCATTACCTGTATTTAGAATAGTTGATATTATATTTTAAAAGTTGAAAAAATGATGTTAAAGATTTGAAAAACACTATGCAGCTACATTAAATATATAAAGGTTTCCACCAAGGACCTAAATTCATTGTCTAACATTTTCATGTTCCAAGACTGACCAATATCATAGTTGTTATTCTTATAGTCTTAAAATTATGGCTCATTAAGGCTTTTATACAAAAAAAGCCCTATCTTTAATCAATTATAAAAACGAGTTCTATTTAAAAGAAAAAATGTACATGAACACTAAAGTACTCATGGATATCATCCTGTACAAAGTGACTATGTAAAGATAGGAGGCTTGTTCCCTGTAAGAACACCTCCTGGTAGCACACGTAAACCTGGTTTGGTTCCTCTGCTCTGCAGCTTTTCAGTATGTAAAATTTAAACCATTTCACATTAACATTTAAATTTAATACAGTGCAAATATTTGAGAATAACTTGTTCCCCCCAGTGAAACAAGAGCCAGCGTTACGCTGAATATTCTTCCGATCTATTTACACATTGAGTTGAAAGTTCACCATAAACTTAGAAATTTGCTGAATATCAGCAGAAATGTAACTGAACTAGCAGCAATTGCATTTATAATATTTGACAGTTACTTGAGAGAATGCATAAAATTTTCCAGGCTGTACTCTGAATCATATTGCTCTTGATCCCAGAGATCACTCAGGTTTTCAAGAATTGATTTCATACTTGCTTTTCCAGAAGTAGAGGTGTCAGCTTTTTCTGCTTTGCCATCCTTAAGAAAAATTAGCAAAAAGATAAAATGAAAGATTAACTTCAGAAATTATATTTTCCTTTAAAATATCACACTTGTTTCTAACACTCCAATTATTCTATATAGTTAAATAATTCATGTGATGGAGAAGTTCATGATCTCAAAAGATAGCCCATTCTGTTTTCCCATAGCTCTAGTTATTATTTGGAAAGAACTTCAAAATTATGGAAGAATTATAGGAACATTACAAAGAACTCGTTTGCTTTTTCATTGTCTCTCCTCATTACGGCTAGTTTTTGTTTTCTGTAGACAGTCTCGCTCTGTCACCCAGACTGGAGTGCAGTGGTACGATCAGAGCTCACTGCAGCCTCGAACTCCTGGACTCAAGTGATCCTCTTGCTTCACCGTCCCAAGTAGCTGGGACTACTGGCATGCGCCACCATGTCCGGCTAAATTATTTATTCTTTTTGTATAGACAGGGTCTCCTTATGTTGCCGAGGCTGGTCTCGAACTCCTGGGCTGAAGCAATCCTCCTGCCCTGGACTCCCAAAGTGCTGGGATTACAGGTGTGAGTCACCACACCGGCCCTATAATGGCTAGTTTTAATTTCATTATATAATGCTATTTCTCACTATAATTTATAATGAGGAATGCAGCTGATTTTCTGAACCTATGTAGGACTTTGACTCCAACTCTATTAGTTTTATATTATTAGACTAACTGATATTTCCAGCAGGTGCATCCTTTTGATTATGGATTGTTAACTAATATATTAGTTCTATCATCTGCAATAACAATAATGGCTACTATTTGAGAATCTATACTAGGTATCCTTTCTAACTGCTAACATATATTACTTCATTTTATCCTTACAACCATGTAATAAAACAGATGTAGAAGCTCAGAGAAGTTAATTTCCCTGAAGTCATCAGTTATCAGGAGATGGGGCCAGACTCCCACCTATGGGTTTCACTGACTCCAGTGATAAACTGTCCTTTAGCAGAAAAGGACTAAGGAAAGAAACCTTCAAGCAAGACACTGTAGACATCAACCAAAAAAATCAAAACTTCACACATCTCCTAGGTGTGCCTGAAGAGGTTTATATGGGCACCAAGAATTCCCTCACTGGCCAGGCGTGGTGGCTTATGCCTATAATCTTAGCACTCTGGGAGGCCAAGGCGGGAGGATTGCTCCAGCTCAGGCATTTGAGACCAGCCTGAGCAAAAGTGAGACCCTGTCTCTACTAAAAACAGAAAAATTAGCTGGGCGTAGTGGTGTCTACTGTAGTTCCAGCTACTCAGGAGGCTGAGGCAAGAGGATCACTTGAGCCCAGGAGTTTGAGGTTGCAGTAAGCTGTTATATGATGATGCCACTGCACTCTACCCAGGCCAACAGAGCGACTCTGTCTCAAAAAAAAAAAAAAAAAAAAAATTCCCTCATAGGGTTATCTAGTGGATACTAGTGAATGCCTTCTGCTGTTCCTTTAATACTTTAAAGATACAACAAATTATAGAAGTTTTTTACCTTATCAAGAGTGAACAGATCAAGAAGTTGATCGGTCCCCATACTCTGCAAACTAGAATTCTCTTGGCTAATAACGGTATTCGCTATGTTCATTTTGAATTTCTGCAAACCCATTATTTTCTCTTCCAACGTTCCTCTGGTTATCAATCGGTACACGTTAACCACACGTTTCTGAGTAAGAAAAAGAGTTAAATGAGTGTAGCACAAATTGATAAGCTTTGAGGTTCACCAAGTCAGGGGGCTTGTATGGTACTTTCTACTACCTAATTAGATTAGATTTTTATTTTGTCTGGCCCTATGAGCTCAAAATGTTTGCAGAAATCACAGAATATTAGGGATAGACAGTGACCCAGGTTTTCTTAGCCCAAGCACCTCACTGAAGGAAGTGGTACTACCAAAGAGTTAAGTAATCTGTCCAAGGTCACAACACTTGTTAACATCAGAGCAAGAACTTGAGCCAAGGCTTCCTGTCTTTCTGAGGGAGTATTTTCCCCAGTGCACAGATTAACACCTATGAGAGGTGACTTTTACCTGCCCAATGCGATGGGCCCGGTCCATGGCTTGTAGATCTCGCATGGGATTCCAGTCGTGCTCCACAAATACCACCGTGTCAGCGCCTGTCAAGTTAAGCCCCAGGCCACCAACGTGAGTTGTAAGTAAGAGAACATCTATGGATGGATCATTGTTAAACCTAAAAGTATAGATAACAAAAATAAAATTAGTACATTTCTTTCTAAGCCTCCTATAACAGAAACTATAAAGAGCACAAATGAAAACACTGCTTTAAAAATCCACTTTAAAAGTCCACTATGGGGAAATTTCTGTGACCACTTCCAATGAAAATATCCTCTTTTAGTAATGTATAACATCTTTAGTAGACAGAATACATTTTAAACTTGTCAGAAATTTCATAAATGGAAAAAATAAGGCCAAGTGAGTTATATTTTATGATACCAGTTAGAGACTAAGCTGCAAAAATATAACTAAACACTAATTATAATTAAGATAAAACCCAACTCTGAACATTTAAAGTATGGCAACAGAGAAGAATGAAGAACAGCCTAGATCATTCAGAGAAGGTAGAAGATGAGACCGTTGTATTATACTACTATACTAAGCCTAGAAGATATTGCCAAAGGACATCTAGTAGCTTTCAGGAAAAAGAAAAAACATTATTCTTACTAACATTAAAAATATGGCCTAGCACAGTGGCTCACGCCTGTAATCCTAGCACTCTGGGAGGCCGAGGCAGGAGGATTGCTTGAGCTCAGAAGTTTAAGACCAGCCTGAGCAAGAGGGAGAACCCATCTCTACTAAAAATAGAAAAATTAGCAGGATGTTGTGGTGCTCGCTTGTAGTCTACTCAGGAGGCTGAGGCAAGAGGCAAGAGGATCACTTGAACCCAGGAGTTTGAGGTTGCTGTGAGCTATGATGATGCCACTGCATTTTACCCCGGGTGACAGAGCGAGACTGTCTCAAAAAAAGAAAAAAATCAGCTATCAACCTACCATTTATTATTCCTTTTTTTTTAAGATGGGGTCCTACTATGTTTTCCAGGCTAGTCTCAAACTCCTGGCCTCAAGCAATCCTCCCACCTCAGCTTCCCGAGTCACTGGGATTACAGGTGTGAGCCATCACACCCAACTCTTTTCTTACTATGACACAAGCAATGGACTTTGTACTTTATATGCATTATTTTATTTGTTACAACAGCTCTATAACGGTATTACCAGTATCCCTATTTTAAAGAGACTGAAGCTGTATGGATGATAAACAGAGAATACTGCCCTAAAGAATACTGCTTAAATAGCAGAGTCAGGAGTCAAACCTGGGTCTGTCTGCTTCCAAAGCCCCCTCCTGAGTTTCTAACTTTCTTGTGCCTTACAATCTCTTGGGGATGCTTGATGCTTGTTGACAATGTCCACTCTTGAAGTCAACAGGTTGGGGCAGAACCTAGGAATCTGCATTTTTTAAAAAGCAACCTCTGAAAATTCTAAAGCAGAGGTTATAGACCACACTTAAGAGACATTGCACTCACCAATTCTGCTTCCTAGCTGGGTCGGCTTCCAATTTGTTCTCATCAGAGAAAAGGATCGGGATAGAGATTTTACCTAAGCCACTTGTTTGTATCCTCTCACCCTAACCCCCCAAAAAGGTAAGGGGAAAAGTAGTTATCTCTATTGTTTGTTGATGCCTTAAATTTCTTTCATGCTCTTCAGAGTGTTTTCCTAATACAGTCATGCTTTTCATTTACTAAACAAACTATTCAATTATATTTCTTTAGTTCTATGTTTAAAAAGGGGTTTATTTGGGTTGAATTATACGATAAAACATATTTGCAGATAATTATTAGCTAATGAAAATATTTCATTAGGCAAACTTCTATATAAGTAATAATATATCTACTATAGCTCAATTTATAATAACGAGTTTTAGAAGCCACTTACCGAGAAACAATGGAATGCCTCTGACCAGGAGGTATGCTGCCATCTAATCTCAAATAAGTGACAGAAGGCAGGTGAGGTTTGAGAAGATCATGTTCTACGATATCAAGCATGCTTTTAAGCTGGCAGAAGATCAGTATTCTATGCTGGGCCACAACAGACTCTGTGCCACTCTCGGAAGTGCTGCCATTTCCCAAACCACAGTCCAACAGCAACTGGGGGGAAAAATCATTACATGTGTATTCAATAAAAGTAGATAAACAATCTCACTGTGACAAATATTTCTCTCTGTAGCAAGAAAAGGTTACAGTTACCTGAAAAGCTGAGTAGCACTTTGGGCTGCTGTCACCTTGTAGCATATGGAACTAGTTTTTGAGGTGCTCAGGCTTAGCGTTCCCTGATCACCTCTACAGGAGTATATCTAACAAGATCTTTCTCCCTTTTCCTTAGTTTCTTGAGGCTAACTAGAGCCTCAATAAATGTTTATTAAAATTTATGACAAAGAAGGGCTATGAAAGAATAGTGTGAAGGAAACATAATGAAGCAGCCACATTTGGTATTATAGAAATCAAAATCACAGAAAAGGAGCATGTAGCTAGATGTCTGGATTCCTAACTTACTACTTTATCTGCAGACCAAGATCTTTAACGGCAGGAACCACAGCTATAGATCTTTTACACTTCCTCCTAAAGTGGTTCGGTGCGTTGCGCACAGCAGATATAATTAAAGTGAATACAATCCAAGTGAATCATGTTTAGGTCAGTTCTTCCTCCCTAGACTCTTAGATACTATTGAATTCTGCTCAAAATGTAAGATTTTAATGCAGGATGCTGTCTCTTTTCTACTAATAGAATTTACTTAGAAAACCAAAAGCTCTGATGGGAAAGGTAACCAAAAGGCCAACCAGGCAAACTCCAAATTCAATGTAAAATCCTTGAGGTAATGTGCAGAAAATGACACTGTTTCCTTAGAAAGTCCTGCTTGTATGGCTGGCCCTTGCCTGAAGTCTGGGAACTTGGATTTTGAGAGTCTTTCCATCAGTCCCTAACTAATAAGGATGGTTTACTGTGCCTAAACTTTTGTGTAAACAATATGATTTATGCTGAGACCTGCTTTCTTTTTGGGAATATAGAATTTTGATCCATGCTAAGCAGAAGGTGTATATGTGATCAGCCTCCCAATAAAAACCTTGGGCAGAGTCTCTAATGAGCTTCCCTGACAGACAGCACTTCACATGTACTCTCACAATTTGATGCTGGAGAAAGAACAAATGTTCTCATTCTTCTACCTAACAGCCCTTAAAATTTGAATTTTTATTAGAGAGTAGAGTAGGCATATGGTATACTAGGGAGGCACTCCTCTAAACAGAATAAAGAAGTCTGCTAAATGTAATTATCCCTATCTCTCGCCACCAAATCTGCAATCAGATTACTATCCAAAGTGTTTCTTTTTAAAAGTCCTATCTATCTAGGGTGTCTCAGGAGAGTATGACTGTGTGGTACCCAGTATAAAGAATGTGATATCATCAGCAGGACATTCTACATAGATCATATAAAATAGGAGTTCCAGAGAATAAGGAGTGCCATGCACACTCGATTATCTCAGTCCTTTAGGCAGCAGTATCACCAACCTGAAAGATGATAATCAGTCATATTAAGAATATCCAACTAAGACTTCTCCAAGTCTATGTTTATGAGACAATCTTCCTAATGTAATCTTTGTCCAGTGTAGCTACCCTTGTGAATGTGTGGACAGATCATTTGACATGAGTATTCCTGTCTGGCAGCAGAACCAATATTCTGGTTTCCCTAATAATCTTTTTTTTTTTTTTTTTTGAGACAGAGTTTCACTGTGTTGCCCGGGCTAGAGTGCCGTGGCGTCATCCTAGCTCACAGCAACCTCAAACTCCTGGGCTCAAGCAATCCTTCTGCCTCAGCCTCCCGAGTAGCTGGGACTACAGGCATGCACCACCATGCCCAGCTAATTTTTTCTATATATTTTTAGTTGTCTGATTAATTTCTTTCTATTTTTAGTAGAGACGTCTTGCTCAGGCTGGTTTCAAACTCCTGAGCTCAAACAATCCGCCCGCCTTGGCCTCCCAGAGAGCTAGGATTACAGGCGTGAGCCACTGCGCCCGGCCCCTAATAATCTCTTATAACGTCAGTCTGCTCCAAAAGACTGATGAACTCCAGGTATCGTCTGACAAAATCTAGTTTGGGGCCTTGAAAAACTGATTACTAGACTCTAGAAAACGTTTGCCAAGGCCACCTAAATAAAGCCAGCTGCCTCTCTAGATAGCATTTCAATTTTATTTTGCCCCAACTTTAGCATAGGCTAAATTATCCCAGGTTTTTCAATCATTCCTCATATAAAATGGCTTCCAAATCTTTTAACATTTTGATCTTCTGCTTAAACTATATTGCTCAAACTGTAAGTGATACTCAAAATTTGGTCTGATAAGTACAAAATACAGTTAAACTGTGATGCCCTCATTTTAGCCATTATACTGTTTTTAATCCTACCCAAGATCCTATTAGTTTTATCTACTGACAACTAAGTCACACAATGCTTATAGTGAAGTTGCCATCAAATCAAACTCAACTTTGCCCCATATAAAATGTTTACCAAGTCTCGCAAAGTCCTTATTTACCTAAGTGTTTTCTTTTAAAATTGACTCTTTTAGCTCCATTAAATTTTACCTAGACTTTCAGTTCATCATTTCAGCCTCCTGACATTTTTGACTCTGGCTCTGGCAATATACTTCTCCCAGCAGCACTACTTGCTGATAAACATGTTTCTACTGATAGTCTTGTAGAAAGTAAATAAGACTTCTTCCCTACTTCAGAGAATACACATATTTGGATTTAAAAAAGAAATGTATCTCTCCCAAGACAGCACCTTCACTGTGAATGGTGAAAAGAACCGAGAAAATGGAAAGGAAGGCTGCTAGAAAAGCCCTCCATGAATATGGGCCTCTTTAAGTTGCAGACTTCCTAAGCATCTTAATTCCAGATACTTCAGGGTGACAAGGAGTATACTCTAAAATGAAAGATCAGTTTAATTAATAATTGCTGGGAAAAAACCATAAAAGGTTGTAGTGTAATTCAAATATGGATGAAATTGAATTTTTATTTGAAAATGGATCTAATCAGCTGATTCCCTAAGTATATTTTACAGCTTCATCTAATGTATCAGCTATGTTAGGAAAATCACAAACATTTTAAATACAAACCTATAGCAAAGTTTGGTCAAAATAGAAACCCATTCCATGTATAAACAAATCTAAAGGTATTAATAATAGTCATTCTTCAATTTTATGATGTGAAAGTCCATTATTTTGTTCAGTTTAATGATATAAGGATACATACATATCTGGATATATATAGGTCAGATATCTATTATATAACATTTTCCATACTAATCTATGTGAAATTTAAAATCTCCATTTGTTAGTTAATCTCAATGAAATTTAGGTCAGAATAACTACTGTGAACTAAAACAATTAGTAAAGTCTAGATTTTATAGTAAGAGCTTCATTTTTAAGACTAGTTAGAAATGGCATTTGTGCTAACATTTCAGTGCTTGAAATTGGTTCTTTTAACCTTTTGAAATCTTAGAATTTTTAAATTAAAATTTTTTAAATTTAAAAGTTCTATTTTTAAAAGCTACACCAAGAGGGTGACATCAGCAAAATGGCAGTGTAGGCAGCTCCAAGTAAAATAAACTCAAAGAGATCCCCAGTGACATCCATTATAATCAAACTGTTGAACAACAAAGAGAATCTTGAAAGCAGCAAGAGAGAAGTAATTGGTCTTGTAAAAGGGGTTCTCAATATGATTAACACCTGATTTCTCATCAGAAACCATGGAAGACACTATCAAGAAAGTGAAGGGACAACCTACAAAATGGGAGAAAATATTTGCAAATCATACAATTGATAAGGGTTTAATATTCAGAATATAAAGAACTTCTCAAACTCAACAAAAAGACAAATAATCCAACCAAAAATGAGCAAAGGGGCTGGGAGTGGTGGCTTCTGTGTATAACCCTAGCACTTTGGGAGGCTGAGGAAGGAGGATTGCTTGAGGCCAGGAGTTTGAGACAACAAAGCAAGCAACAAAGCAAGACCCCAGTTTGAAATAAAAAAGGCAAAGGACTTGATTAGGCATTTTTCCAAAGATATACAAATGTCCAAAAATGTCCCATAAGCACATGAAAAGATGCACAACATCATTAGTCATTAGGGAATAGCAAATCAAATCCACAATGAGTTATCACTTCACACTTAGTAGGGTGGCAATAATTAAAAAGAAAGAAAGGGAAATATGTGTTGGCAAGGATGTGGAGAAACTGGAACCCTGGTGCATTGCTGGTGGGAATGTAATGTAGCCACTGTGGAAAATGGTTTGGCAGTTCCTGAAAAAGTTAAACATAGAACTGCCATATGACCTAGCTGTTCTACTCCTTAGTCTATATCCAAAAGAAATGAAAAGAGGGACTCAAATAGATATTTTTAAGCCAATGTTCACTATAGCATTATTCATAATAGCAAAAAGGTAGAAACAAGTCTTGACTAACACATAAATGGATAAATGAAATGTGGTATATCCATACAATGGACTATTTTTAAGCCATAAAAAAGCAATGAAGTACTGATATATGCTGCAACATGGATGAACTTTGGAAACATTATGGTAAGTGAAATAAGCCTGTTACAAAAGGACAAATACTTTATGATTCCACTTATATGAAATATTTAGAAGACACAAATTCATAGAGATAGAAAGCAGAGATTACCAGGGGCTGGGGGAAGGGAGAATGGAGAGTTATTGTTTGATGGGTACAAAGTTTCTGTTTGAGTGATGCAAATATTCTGGAAAGAGTGGTGACAATTGTATGACATTGTAAATATAATTAATGCCACAGATTTGTACATTTAAAAATAATTAATACGGCATATTTTGTGCTATATATATTTTACCACAATTTTTTAAAAAGCTGTATCAAAATTTTAATAAACTAAATTAAAAAAGAAATGGTAAACACATCAGTAATCTTTGGGAAAAGCAAATTTACCTAGTGTTACATATCAGGAATGTGCAACACACATCTAACACTTAGAAAGAAATACATACCTGTTTCAAAGCTGAGAGTTTTGGAGCATGCTGAATATCATGAAGAGAAGAATTCTGAACTGCCAGTTTTTCAGTAGTGCTCTTGAACTCCGGATGTTGAGGTGTTAAGACTAATGCTGGATGGTTGCACAGCTTACGTAAGTACTGTAATGCCTTTAAGAGAGGGGAAAAAAGTATATACGAGTCCATTTCACATACCACAAATGTTTATGTCTCTGTATCTTTTCCTATGCTATTCTGTTTAGAATGTCTTTCTCCCTGCTCTCACTTGGCAAACTTCTACTCATTCTTCAAGAACCAGTTCAAATGTCTCCTCTATGATTTCTGTGCAATCTGTATATATTTCTATAAGACATTTATAACTTGTATAAATTATACTGTTTATGCCTGTATCTCCCACTAGACAATGAGCTTCTTATGGCAAAATGAGTGCCTTATACATCAGCTCCTTTAAAACCCTTTCCCACTCAAAGTGACTGATAATGCAGACAGATGCTTCTGGAACTAGGCATCAAACTTCAGGGAGCATAAAAATTTCCTGAGGACCTTATCAACCTGCAAATCTCTCCCTCCTACATAGTATTCTGATTCAGCAGATCTGGAGGGGGGAAGGGAAGGGGAATTGGGTGATTGTCTCAAGTGGTTGTGTTTGAGAAATAGAATCCTACATGGTCTCTTCTTTTCTCTGATTCAACCACACTCTCTCTGCCTCTTACTTGGCTTATGATTTGTGTCTCACCCTTGGCACAAAGTTTTTGTATCAGCAAGCTCCACTGACAAGGCCCAAGACACTGTTGAGCACTATGATAAAAATTTTGAGGGAAAAATCTTGGGAGAGGTATAAGTCTTCACAACCATCTTTTCCTCTTCTATCTTTAAAAATGCTATAGTATTTAATCTATTGGTGGGAGGTTTTCTACAGTGGAATAGTTCAAGAGGTTAAGAAGAAGTGAGTTGACACTTGCCACCTCTTTTTCATTTGCTATTCTCTTAAGCACATGAGGCATGATCTGTCTTGGGACTTCTGTACTTTCTGTATCCTCTGCCTCGAATCATTTCCCCCCCACATACCTGCATGCCTCAATCCTCCTTTAGGTCTTTGCTCAAATGTCATCTTCTCAGTGAAGTGGTCCTCGTCCCCTCTATTAAGAAACCACCACCTACCCCAGACTCCGATACTCTATAATTCCACTTTCTGCTTTATTTTTTCTTACATAATATGTATTTTACTTATTTTTCATCTCTACCATGGAAGGAGTCTGTTTTATCCACTGCTTTAGGTAACCTCAAAAGTTGGAACACTTAACACATGGTAGTAATTTTTCTAATATTTCTGAATGAAAAAGCCAAAGATTCTGTATTCTAAAAACCTTTTCATGTAATATACAAACATATATATTATATTTTGAACTACTTACCAATTAATATTAGATAGGTATTTTAACTTTTCAAGAATGTATACATAATATTGAAAAAATGTAAATAAACCCATATTTCAATGTTCCATATAGTAACTGTCTCACTGAAAAATATTCTTCAGCATTTAAAAAGTAGACTGTCATCTATACCTGGAATACATGGCCTGTAGCTTTAAGCTTTGGTTTTTCAGTTTCTTCAGAAAGTGCAGCTGAAGAAACTGTTTCATCAACATCACACTTGGCACGAGACTTAGCAAAATCTTCATAGAGCTGAACCTGTAAAATCGTCCCCATGAAAGCTGTAAGTATATTTATTTTCAATTGTTCAAAACACATAACTAGCAAAGGCCAATAAGAGCAGAAATTTAATCAGCCCTCATTAATGAAAAAAATTATAATTCACTACTAATACAGATTATCCACTCCACCTTGATAAATTCCTTTAAAATTATATCTATAAAACAAGTATAAACACATTAAGTTTGGCTGCTAAAATATTAAAAATACTAGTCAAACAGTCCTAGACTCAATTTTTCCACTGTTTAGGAAAATAAACACATTACCAATAAAGAAGAACCTGAACCTTTACCAGTAAATGAGGAAAATCTTCCTTAAATGGAAAAAAAAAAAAAAAATCTTCCTTAAATGAAGTGATATGGTCAAGACCCTGTTAAGTACCAAATTTTAAGAGAATGCTACTGCTAGCCTAAAAGGGGAATGCATACCAAGTTTAAAGTATGACTTTGGGATCTGAGTTCCTGCCTTGTACATGCTAAAATAATGTGAAAGGGAAGAAAATCGAGAGCGCCAAAGAACAGAAATCAGAAAATTAAAAACCTGTGAATGCTAACAAAGCCAAAATATCACTTCCCTTTGGTGCTCCCTTCCTCTAGATTACTTAAATGTGTTTTATGCCTATGTTATAGCACCACCACCAGTATATCATCACAGATTTTTCTCATATGACATCTTTATTGTACCTAAAAGTTTTTATCTCATTATTCTTGAAATATTCAAGAAATATTAATTCAATTTTTGCAAATGGAGGAATGGGAGAGCAAGAGATGAGGTAGATAGTATAGAAGAATCAGAGCTCTCAGCCTCCAGACTACTATCTGGCCCACTAAACCCAAGTTGAAAAGATCAACAGATCAATACTGGCTAACAGGTTAACTGCCTGTTCACTGGAGGGGGTGGGGGAAAGTAAGTTTCTCGGTATATCTATATATTCATTTAACCATACTCAGCTCCTAATATTAAAATAGACTGACATAAACTGAAAGCATAAAAAATAAACATTCAAACAGAAAATTCTGATTTTGAAGCCATGTCTTACTAAGACAAGCGACAGTTTCCACTTACGTCCTTAGAAAAGTACAAAGAAAGACTTCACAATAAATTCCTTGGATAATGATCTCTATGTACAAAATCAGAACTGTGCAGAAGGCAAAATTTATTTTGAACATTTACAGGCAATGCAATAATACTTCAAAGAGGATGAAGTCTCACTGACCAAGGTTTGAAATTCAGTCCTGATATACAGTCATGCATTGCATAAGGACATTTTGGTCAATGAAAGAGCACATATATGACAGTAGTCTCGTAAGATTATAAAACCACATTTTTACCATACCTTTTATATGTTTAGATACACAAACACCACTGTGTTATAACTGCCTACAGTATTCAGTAGAGTAACATGCTATACAGAGTTATAGCCTAGGTGTGGTAGGCTATACCATTTAGGCTTGTGTAAATACACTCCACAAGGTTCACACAATGACAAAAATCACCTAATGATGCATTTCATCCTCACTGCTAAGTGATGTATGACTGTCCATTAGCTCTATGACCACAGGCAAAGTATTTAACTTTTCTAAGCATCATTTTCTTAATTTGCAAAAATGGGGATTAACACTACCTATAATGCTGTTGTAAGAATATGACGACATTCAGAGGCAGATTTTTGGCCTTTATAAACATTTACTTATTTCCTCATCAATTCAACTTTGTGACCTTTCAAATTAACTATAATGGATATACAAGAAACCAGCCTAGGCGCAGTGGCTCATGCCTGTAATTCTAGCACTCTGGGAGGCTGAGATGGGAGGATTGCTTTAGGCCAAGAGTTCAAGACCAGCCTGAACAGCAGCAAGACCCCGTCTCTACAACAAATACTAATAGAAATATTAGCTAGGCATGCTGGCACATGCTTGTAGTCCCAACTACTCGGGAGGCTGAGGCAGGAGGATCGCTTGAGCCCAGGAGTTTGAGGTTGCAGTGAGCTACGATGACACCACTGCACTTTACCCAGGGCAACAAAGCAAGACTCTGTCTTCCCTCCCCCTAACCCCCCAAAAAACCCCACCACCACCAACAAAAAAACCCCACAAAACATTCTGCTAATAAACATATCACCAAAACCCACAATCACCATACTCCTAACCTGGAGAGGACTGAGAGTGCAATAATAGTCTTGAATAATTTTAGGTGGGAGATCCTGCAGAACATCTTCTTTCATTCTTCTCAAAAGAAATGGCAGGACTTGGCGGTGCAGGGCATCCATAGCAAGAACACCTGTTAATAGTAAGAGAAAATGGCTTGGAAAAAGTTAGGGATAAATTAAATTCACTTATACAGGGTTTATAATTATTTCTTTCATACCTGCTTCTTGTTCTCGACTGGAGCTTCGAGCATCCCTACTTGCTAATATAGGTTTACCATATCGAGCAGCAAACTGGCGTTCAGTACCCAAAAATCCTGGCATGAGGAAATCAAATAATGACCACAGCTCCAAAACGTTGTTCTGAATATAAAAAAGGAACACCAATCATCTTTACTGGGATTATTTCCTTACACTTAAAAAAAAATGGAACATTAATGTAAGCCTATTATGACAATGCAGATGAAGGTAATCAGTACATTTTTAGGTATATGGTGTAAGTCTTTATTTTAATGGGTAAAATTAATGTCAGTATCCTTGGAGAAAATATTCAGTCCTATTTGGGGGAAATCCTCAAGTCTCCATCACCAGAATAAATCTTGGTCTACAGTGTTATACCCTACAGTGTTATACCCTATTGTTGGCATATATGAAGTAGTAAATAGAAGAACAGAAAGATAAGTAACTTTCTGATTCTTTTAATTTATCTTTGACACTCAAATTAATAGCAAGATTTAAGGAATTTGGCCACTATCACCACTTCACCACCAACAAAAAAACCTCGAAAAGTTTGGTTATAAGTTAAGTCCACCCAGTATTTATGGGGCACAAGGCAAAGGCACAGATTCTTTCCAATTCTACAGCTAAAGCTTAATGGAAAAAAAGAAAAAGAAATCAGCACCCTTTTCATTTTGGATAACCTTTCCCAATAGGTGTAGATCCTAAGGTACGTTCCTTCCCCCATCCCCTTCCAGAAGCTCTCCTCACCCTGGCTCTAGCTTAGCATACTGGGCTGCCCTCCCATTCAGACACTCTTCTAATCTTCCTCAGCCTCCACCCCCTGACACTGGGCCCCCATGGCATTGCAGTATAAAAAGCCACCTTACAGCTTCATAGCCAAATTATTTAGGTGAGGGGAAAAAGGAGTGCCTTTAAACACACAAATAAAAAACAAAAAACTTCTTTTGATGTCTGAACCAATTAAAAGCAATAACCTATTTTAAATTACTGTGACATTTCCATATAACTTTAAATTGAAGCACAATAAATCCTGACAATTCAAGTCCAAATAGTCTCTTTCCTTTCTAAAAATACTTTACAATTTTTCATAAATTTAGAAAAGCTTGTAATTAAGTTTATCTTTTGTGGTTATTAAAATCCATAGAGCTCACTTAATGGACAAAACACTAACCCTTATAATAATCAGTCCACCACCAAAAATAAATTTAAAAGAAAAAGTAATAAGTACATAAATAAAGAACCATCAATTTTTTAGAGTTGGAAGGAATCTTGGTGGTCACTTGGCATTTACTCCTCCACTAACCAGAGAATGATTGAAGGGAGCATCTTCCTACCAGAGTTTGCTATCCAGGTTAGATGTAAACATTTGCAACTAATACCTCTGGCTGACAACAAAATCAACGTATCTGAAGACATCTACATACTACCCATATCCTTCCTTTTCTAAGATAAACTTCTATAATCCTGTCCCTTCAACTTCCTCCTGATATCAGGTATTCACACATCTACTATATGATGATTCATCTCTGACTCTAGCTTTTCAATGTTAAATTAGATTGTGGTATATCACTACAAAAGGAGAAGACCAATGTGGAGTAGAGTCTGACTCACATCTTTCATACTTTAAACACAAGACTTCTATTTACATAGCCTAAAATTATATTTTAAATATGACTTAGTTTTTTTAATTTTATTTTTTATTAGACACAGGGTCTCGCTATATTGCTCAGGCTGGAGTGCAGTGGCTGTTCACAGGTACGACCACAGCACACCATAGCCTCGAACTCCTGGGCTCAGTGATCCTTCTTTCTCAGCCTCCCAAGTAGCTGGGACTATAGGCGTGTGCCACTGCACTCAGCTAATTATGACTTTTAAAACCTCATCTGTTCAGATACTGCTATATACCAGATGAACCATTAAACAAGCAACATGATTACTAGAAAATTATCATCTCTATAAACTAAAGAAAACTCTAATTCACTGCCAAATCCAAATGTCAAACCTACTCTCTACCTGGCAAATATTTAAAAAAAAAAAAGGAAGAATAGTAAATAATTACCTGGATTGGTGTTCCAGAAAGAATAATCCTGTAATTAGCAGTTAGTTGTTTAACCGCTTTTGACAATTTTGTTTTTCCATTTTTGATGACATGGCCTTCATCAAGAATACAGTAGTTAAATTTAATATTTCTAAGGGAGAATAAATAGAAAATTTTAGTATCTTTTACTATATATCAGAACTATATGAAGAATCTTTAAAGTAGGAAGATATTAAGGGACTTCAAATTTAAGTTTTTCTAAAGAAAAAAATTTTAATTCTTACCTAAAGAAATCTATGTCATTCCTCACAACATCATATGAAGCCACTATCAGATTGTGCCTTTTTACTTGGTGCTGTAACCTTTATTTAAAAATAAATAAAATTGGAAACACGGACTCTGAAAAGTTTTTAACACAATTTTAAAAGTGAAACTATAGCTACCATTGTATAAGTGGTTTCAATCCACCTACTAAGCCCAGCATTCCCTTCTGCTTACTCTATATGCATGACCCTTCCACCTGAAAGGCCACTCTTCTCATGATTTGGTCATGTTGTCTTACTCAGTCTGATTAGAAAAGAGATGAGCACAAGACTGAAAATGTGGTGGACATTTTAACTCTACTTGCCAACATCTTTCCCTTGGGGGCACTATTCCTTTACCTTTCCATGTTGTTTTAGGGAGCGTGGGGGTGGGGTGAACTATCAATCATATGTCCCCATAATCATCAGAGATGAAGCATTTGAACCGGATTGAGCTATTCACAATATCTTATCCCCTGATCACAAAGGCTGGTTTAGGGGCATGACACAAATGAAGCCAGCCAGTTATCTTCAGTATTGACATATCCATGATGGGAGTGGGAAGATCTGTTTACTATAGTTGCCAAGCTAGGAGAATGTAGGCCTGGAACTACCCATGGTCATCTTATTTACCAACTGTAGATGAAGTTCAGTAGAGATCTATACAACCAGCTATGTATGGGGAGGAAGAGTGAATGTGTATGAAGCAAGAATCCATGCCTGAAATTCTCAAGCAAGTGTATAATGAATCTCCTGTTTGCTTAAGCTAGTTTGAGTTGAATTTCTATCACTTACAAATGAATGAATTCTAACTAAGGCACTTTGGTAAACTGCTCAAGAGTACAAGCTTTTGGCCGGGCGCGGTGGCTCACGCCTGTAATCCTAGC